GCGAGCAGTAGGCGCCCCCTCCCCGGGTTTCCCCACAACTTTGGCACCGTTGTCGGGGAGGGGAGCAGCACCCCCAAGGCCGCGGCCTTCCCCAATCAATGGGGCCTTCCCCAATCAATGGGGGTGCGCGGGCTGATTAGTCCATGCACTAATTGGTTCGTTTTCTTGATTAGTCCTGTTTTTGATTATTCTTTGAATTAGTTTTTTTTAAGATATCTCGTAATCCGCGCATTTTCTCGCGAAGAACGCAGAGGATAAAGTTCGATGTCTCGACCAGGGGAACGTTATGAGACATTTCTTGCTGAAATCTAACAGTCAGATTTCGAGATAACGATTTTTGTTTTTGAAAATCAAATTATTAATTTGGAAGTTCCAGTTTCTTTTTTAATTTTTGCGGGAAATTGGTACATTTTCTTGAGATAACTCCTTGTACCAAATCTGCTCAGTTTTTTTTTCCCGTCGTTTTGATGCCTTGGACGGGGCAAACGGAGGTGGTTAGAGGCAAGAACGGTAAGTAACAGCAAAGAAAAAAAAAGTAAAACAAGAATTAAATATTTAATTTCTTTGAAAATTTCGTGTAAAATACCATAAAAGGGATTAATAAAAAGTGTTCCGTCAAAGTTTTTGCAAATTTTGAGTAAAGTTGACGGGAAAATTTTGGGACTGAACGAGTTTTGGAAGAGAGCGTGCGGTTGCGCGCGAAGCCCCCAAAACCCTAGTAGGTAAACCCTAATTAGGGGAAGTCTTATCCAGGGTTTTGGGACGGATAACAACCTCGAAGAGGAAGGATAATATATGGGGAATATTTTGCCTTTTTAATTCTTCAGCCTTTTTCTTTTTGAAGAATTAAATTAAAGAAAATATTAAAAATAACGAAAAATGATTAATTAAATTTTGTTTTATTTTTAAATTCTGACGTCTTTCCTTTCGAGTTGTTGAGCTAGGGGCGGAAAGCCCGAACCCCATCCCCACGGGGGGAGGGAAAATGCTGCCAAATTTTCGAGAAAATTTGTAAAATATTTCGAATTAATTAGGAAATAATTAGAGAAAATACTCAAAAATTGGTTAAAAATTAAAATTTTCTTTGAGAATTTTTCCCTTTTGCTATACTCGTTCGGCGGCTATTTTGAGGCCTTCGGCCACACCCCATCCCCACGGGGGGAGACGAAGTGCTGCCAAAATTTTCGGGGACCTCTTGAGATCGAGCGATTCTGCCTAAAGACATGTACAAGGGATAGAGGTGTATGTAAAATAAGAAAGGGGATGTATCTTATGTAAATAAAATTATTGTAAATTAAATAGAGTTAAATACAGAAAAATATTGGCGGAAAGAGAAACACATTTGCCGCACTGCTCTCTAGGGGAAGCCTTGCATGCCTCTAGGCAGTAGTCGAGGGCCAGTGGGTTTCTAGAAGATAAAAGTAGTTTATATTTATTTAAATTCATTAAAATTCCCTAAAAATATTAAAATGACTTAGAAAGATGACGAAAGAAGGTGAAGGCCTTCTGATTTTGTTTCTTAGGTAGGGAAGGACATTTGCACTCTTGAGGGGTGACCGGAGCAGTCGGAGGCGGCGTTCCCTCGAACAGAGCACACGCCTTTCATTCGAGGGAACTTGACCATAGGGCCTGTTGCCTTGTTTAGAGTCGGGACTCCGCCCTCTAGCACCATAGGGGACCCTTTTAGGAGATAGATTGACAGCGTGATATCGGGGCTCCCAACGAAGGGAGGCGAAGCGCTACTGAAATTTCCTTAGATTCGACAAGCCTTCTTCTACCATCTTTCACCTTCTCTACCCATCCCTCTCGGTACGTTCTCTCTAGTCGCCGGTTGGATGTGGCCGCGAGCGCAAGTAAAGGTCTATGAGGCCACCATCGACTAGGACTTGGAGCCTCCTGAGCTCATAGAAGGGGATCTGGTGGAGCTCACGATCCCCGGGCGCAGCGTTCGACAAGTTGACGGCCAGTTTGCGAGGAGGTCCATAATCCTGTCTGAGGACGTGTGGCTTTGGACGCACAGAGTGCATCAGCCTGGGCAAGGAGTGGGCGTAGTGAGGGCCTACTTGTACTTAGGACCGGGCGCGGTTACGGAGGCCGTGCTGAGCCTCGCGACGACAGGGACTAGTGGCGCGGTTAGCAGGGCATTACGCTACCTGAGGGACGAGGTAGTTGCCTTCCAAGCGGAGGACTCGAGCGACCCGTTGACCCTATTTCACGGGCGCCCTCCTCTAGACATCACGGGCGAGCTGGTGATAGCCCGAGACGGGTTTTTCCCATACAGCGTTAGGAGTCTGCGAGCGATAGTTCCGATGTTCGTAGTAGAGAGCGTCTTTGGAGGTATTGGTGGAGTGGTCGAGACATACCTAGCCTATCAGGATCTCAAGATCCTGGCGAGGAGGCCTGTCGACCTCGACTACATCTATTATTCGCTCACGACCGGTGGGCCTCGTTGGGGTGACGAGAGGGTTCAGCTTATAGAGCTGATCCGTTCGATAGACGACGAGTGACCCCAGTCTCCGTGCGTTTGGGATTGGCTAGACCGTGAGCTCCGAGCAGGCCTCGAGTACATGACCTGCATCGGGCAGCTCTTCTCAGATGACTGGGGGAGCTGGTGGAGTGAGGACGCCGGGCGACATCTGATATACAGCCATCAGTTGGCGGAGTACTACCAGGTTATAGGACAGGCGCCATACCGCGTCGAGGACGAGTTTGACGACGAGGGTTGGGAGCGAGAGGACGACGAGGACGCCTGGGAGCCAGACTGGGTCGACCCAGAGAGTGAGGTTGACGAGGAGGAGATTGACGTTACGGACGCCCATTTCCCCAGGATAGGAGTAGCAGTCCGGGCGTAGGGTGAGCCTTAGCTACTGATATCGGCGGATAGTGGAGAGCGGATCGATGGTAGAGCAGGTCAGTAGAGTAGAGCTTCAGATCGACGACGCCAGATGGCCTAGGCCTCCGGAGACAGTAGTTGCAGGCAGGGTGTCGCTAGATCTGCCGGCCAGAGGGGTTTCCGCGGATGTGATAGAGAGCAAATGGTCATCGACGGTCTTGGGTCCAGACGTGCACTTGTGGACGTATGCCATCGAGACGTTTGAGCTAGACAGCTAGAGGTGGCGACGACCAGGCACGACTAGTATAGAGGTAGTGAACCACATTTACTACTCGCGGGAGGTGCTAGCCACAGTCTATTTTCACGGCATCATGCACGATCATTGGCGAGAGGAGCAGAGCGCGAGGAGGATTTTATTGGCCCGAGCGGACTCCGCGCGGGGCGAGGTAGAGCGGCTGCACGGGGGTGTTCGGGGAGTGACGACGACCTTGAGGATTGGAGGACACTTCTCATATCCTAGCAGTCGGCTGCGTGTGACACTTCCGTGCTTCGTGGCGGAGGAGCTTTGGGGGCATAGACGTCTGGGTGAGATCTACTTTGCGGCTTTTGACTTGGACAGCCTCTGCCGAGGGTACACTGACAGGGATTGGGTGTTGTATGCGCAGTTTGTAGCAGGGCCGCTTGTACGCGAGCGAGGGCTTCAGTTGATCGAGTTCCTGCGGGTCATTGTACCTACCGGAAGCCTTGCCCTATACTCTCTGTACCAGCCCCTAGCCTTCTGGACGACACTAGAGAGAGAGGCTCGGAGGCCTACAGATCATTTAGCTGGAGTAGAACAGCTGTTAGCCGAGACTCGTGAGGAGAGGCCGAGCCATCTCATCTTGACCGGGGAGGTTGAGGAGTATTACCGGCAGGTACATCCAGAGGCAGACGATCTTACGTGGTACGCTGAGGATCGGAATTGGGAGGAGTTCGATGACATAGACCCTTGGGGTGACCAGGAGGACGGCTGGGGACATCTCCTTCAGACCGAGGGATAAGAGGATATTCCATGAGGACAGAGGGTAGATGAGGATATAGACGAAGATATGCCAGATGCATGAGACGACTAGAAGCAGGACACATCCGAGTGAGGTTTAGAGAAGGGAGTAGTGGAGAGTATGGCAGACCGGGATATACTGAGGGTGACTCTTTCCCTACGACGAGATAGGACAAGAGGATGGGAGGATGAAGCGTTGGGCAATGTTGAGCGACAGGTCAGACTCATGACGGAGCATGCCCTGGAGATACGGAGAGGCCAGAGGTACGTCGAGTTCACTATCTACTTCCATGGAGCCGACGGGAGAGTGCACAACACCTATTCGGCCATACTGGATCTGAGTGGGAGAGTTGTCTGAGGAGTCGGCAACATCGAGAGATAGGGTGCGTCGGAGGGATTAGAGCGCTACAGATCGAGAGCTGGAGAGGAGATGAGGAGTGACTCGGTAGCCTGGTTAGCCTATGTTCTCTCACGAGAGTCCGAATCGTATAGCGTGAGGAAGCTAGTGATACGACATTCCTCTTCCTGTGGCATTAGAGGGGACAGGGCGTGTTCCGATACGATACCTGGGAACGTTGCTCGCAGAGGGACTCTTCCTTTGGACAGTGATACTGAGAGACGAACGACCCGAGAGGACTCATGATCTAGAAGGGGTCGGACATCTGATAGCGGATAGAGCACACGATTTAGAGGTAGGACTGACGCTCGCAGGGGCAAGAAGGGCTTGGTGGAGAAGCGAGTCGTTGGCCAGAGTGATTGTTAATCAGCAACTAGCGAGACTCTCTGGAGGGAGGACGCGTTGTAGCCGCTTGGTATACGGTCCTCCGCATCCGACCCTCTACCCGAGAGAGGATTGACGATTCGGACTTCCTACCTTCATGATAGGGCAAACCTATGGGAGCGTAGAACGTTTGAGTAGAGCAGTGGACCACACACTTTACGCGCTCTGGGAGGGCTTAGCGCCCCGTTTCAAGGAAGTATACTACGCCATTTGTGTGAGGTGGGGACCGCCCCGTAGAGAGACGCTTGACGACATCATAGACGTTACTAGCTGGGTGGACTGTCTGAGGCCAGTCGATCTGATTAGGTACTGCAGGAGACGAGCGGAGATCGATTACGTAGGGCTAGAGGATGTGAGGTTTCTCTTCGAGGCCGCAGCTTAGGGAATGCCGGGGAGGACGGCCACAGTGATGCGTGTAGGAGAGCAACTGGTAAGCACAGGGTACACTGTGACAGTACTTCTCCGAGCGTACGTAGAAGAAGACTTGACGGCGAGGGAGTGTCGGCAACGAGCCAGAGATTTGATCCACGAGCATAGAGCCGATGTACTGGCGCGGGTGACCTCGATTTCCTATGAGGTGATGATATGGTCACATGGCTATATGCGTGCGGAGCACTTCCACGACGAGACGGTAGCGGAGGCTAGAGCAAGGGTGAGCGGATGAACTGGAAAGAGATGAGGACTGAGTATGGAAGAGGAGAGTGAGGCAGTCGAAAGAGTGAGAGAGCGCATTAAAGGGCCACTCTTGAACCAGGTAAAGGAGTTGGGGAACAAGTTAAGGGAGATCTGGTCGTGCCAGGATGAGGGCAAGTTGCGTAGGGCTGAGCTCGTGACGAGAGAGTTAGAGAGTTTGTTTAGGGAGGAAAGAGAGATTATCCAGGCGTGGAGATCAGACTTTTTGGAGAGGGTAAAGGCTAGGAGCGTATCACGCGAAGGAACTGGGGAGAAGTCTACAGAGGGCGTGACAACCGAAGACAAGGTAACGCAGGGAGGTAGCGACAGGACATGAGCGGGACTGCACTACACACGACCGATCGGTACTCATTGCATGTGGTAGGGAGACTGGACGGACCGTTGGTGTTAGTGATCGTAGAGCTCCAACTCCATACCAGACTGTGTATAGTTGAGGAGGCAGAGTGTGTCCGTCGTGCGCTGCGTGAGGCTAGGGGGACAGGACTTTGGATTGGATTAGAAGGAGGACGAAGGATAAAATACGTACTCCGAGTGACACCTTTCGGAGGGCGGTCTCGGATAAGGGCATGGTACGAGACGACCAGAGAGGCTGAGAGGTTGAAGATAAGCGAAGCCAGGAAAGATGGAGAGTTAGGGAGAGTTGTAACAGACGGTGCAATACTCAGGGTGTTAGCCGCTCACGATCGGTACTGGAAGGAATCGATAAAGACTTTGGAGGCCATAGAGGATAGTGGAGATAAGGAGGACTTTGAGACATTCTATGACATATGAGAGCTGTCGGCGATAAGGTTACGAGTGGTTGTAGCACTGACTTACCTCAGGTGCTAGACAGATGACCTCATAGCCGTCTGGGAGTTAGAGGAGGAGAAATAGAGATTGGAAGCTCTTGGAAGAATAGTGGAAGCTTCCTCCTTTAGCGAGCTACCCGATTCAGGACGGGCTAGGAAACCTAGCAAGGAGGACAAAGATAGACGCTCGAAGGCTCTTGAGGGGTGCTGATCAGGAGACACTGGTTAGGCTTAGGACCGCGATCTGCCGCAGGAGTAGAGATCCTGTCACGGGTGTACTGCAGATCCGGAGAGGCGCGGCCTTGTTGACCGATCCCGAAGGAAAGGTTTACCTAGACACAGGGATTCTTGGGGTAGAATGAGAGCACGAGATCCGCGACCAGAACCGAGTACTGATGGTGATGATCAGGGCAGTTGAGAGCTAGGGTTGGTGACGAGCGCGAACCGTGACAAGGAAACAGGTCTGGGCTGCTGCAATTATCACTGGTACGGGCTGCGAGTTCTGTCACAGGTCCGGGCTGCAGCAACTGTCATAGGTCCGGGCTGCAACGCCCGGCGTGAGAGCCCAACTGCATCTTCTGGTGGCCCATGGAACCAGACACGATGGGGCCACAACCGACCACGGGCGAAGCGAGGGAGGAGTACAGGACATCGCCCGACCGAGCGCTGAGGGATCTGAAGGAAAGGATTAGGCGGGAAACATCGCTGAGATGGACTGAGCAAACCAATGACGGAGAGTCCGACGTAATGGGTGAGCCGGTCGTGACAGAGTCGCGGGAGACTCTGAAGACAGGAACCTCGAGCGGCCGACGAGAAGCGACGAGACGACGCTCCCCCGAATATGAGCGGAGGGAAACCATGGCGGATAGGCACAGGGACGACTGGCGAGAGAGTTCGATCCTATTGGAGGGACAGAGATAGAGATAGAGCACCGCCGCGGCGTGTCTTCGACCCCTAAACGGGGGAATCACACCCACTCCCTTACGAGAGCAAGGATCGCTATATTATTACGCACAAGGCCTCAGAGCCTCCTACTTTCAGGGGCTATGGCATTACAAAATATCTGGAGAAGTGGGAGCTTCACGCTAGCCGGAGTCAGTGGTCGGAAGAAGAGATTATAAAAAACTTCCTATTTAATGTGGACCGAAGTCTCGGTAAGGAAGTTAAGGAAGCTCAACCGAAGAATGAGAAATGGACTACGTACAAAAAGAACCTCGTTGAGATTATAAAAAACTTTCTATTGACAAATTGGAGGATAACAAGTACTCCATCAAGGACCTTGAGACGATGACTCAAGAGGAAGATGAGAGCGTACGGGCATTTGGGATGCGTTTCCAGAAGATCTCGGACGTGCTGATGAAGAAGGGGAAGATCTCAGAGGTCGAGCGCTGTAATATCTTCATCGGACACCTGTCCAAAGGTAGACAAAAGAGTATATTTAGAGATCTTCCGCTCGACAAGCTTGACTTCCCAGAAGTCCTAAAGCTCGCGATAAAGGCAGAGGCAGACGACTACAAAGACTTGGTGTGGAGAGGGATGAGGAGACGTGACTTTTCTCTCTACAAGGAGTATGCCACTGATAGATGTCATGATTTCAAGGACCATCCCTGGTCGGAGAAAAATGAAGCCATCGCCGAGGAAGTGAAGGAGATAAGGGACATGGTAAAGGGATTGACAAGACAGGTTACAGAGATTGTGACCACCACAGGAGCCACGACATACCGGGACAAGCCCGGAGGACCCTATTCACTTCGTTGGGACCGGAGGAACACTGATTCCTGGAGGAGTGTCGAGGATAGAAATCCTCGAACGCTGACTGATTATCGTGCAAGGGAGAGGGAGAGAGACGATGAGCTATGGCGACGTAGGGATGATGAGATAGACCGGGAGCGCAAGACCCGCGAGATGTATGGGCGTGCTAGGAGACTGGATGACTACTCTCGTAGCCCTTGCTATGAGCCTGACGGGGGTAGAGGCGACTCTCGAGGCCGATGGGAGTCGGATCAGGGCCTGCGAGATGGATATAGGGATGGTAGATATGAGAGACCGGACCGGGATGGACATAGAGACGATAAATATGAGAGGTCGGATCGAGACGGATACAGGGATGATAGATATGAGAGATTGGACCGCGATGGACGTAGAGATGACAGATATGAGAGGTTGGATCGAGACGGATACAGGGGCGGCAGATATGAGAGGGGAGATCGACCCGATGATTCACGCGGGCGATACGACCGAGGAGACCGACGTGATGATTCGCGCGGGCAGTACGACCGAGGAGACTGACGTGATGATTCACGCGGGCAATACGACCGAGGAGACCGACGTGATGATTCACGCGGGCGATACGAACACGGAGACCGCCACAATGATTCGCGCGGCAGGAATGAGAGAGGGGGATATGGTACGTTGTCTGATCCGTATCCGAAGTCCCCTGACCCCAGAGCAGCGAGAGGTTCGACCTCCAGAGGCGCAGACGATAGGCCACCCACACCCAGGAACTCTTGTGTCTACTGTAGAGGAGATGATCATATCAAGAGAGATTGCCCGGACCTCCAACGGGCAATAGATGAGGGACTTGTCGTGCTTGACGACCGCAAGTACGTCAAGTGGGCAGATGATTTGGAAGATGTATCGATGTTCCCTTCCATGAAGGAGAATGTCGAAGCAAGGAGAGTAAAGCCGAGTAAAGGGAAGGAGCCGGTCAGGAGCCAGAGCATCAAGATAACTTTTGAGGGGGATATGGCGACCACATCCATAAGGGTGGCAGCCACCAAGTCGGCGAGAGGGTTTACATCGAAGAAGACTGACACGGATTACGTGATGGCGGAGAAGGACGGACAACGGATCGATGGAGAGGAGGTTATTCTTTCGCCGCGGAAGCGGGGAGTGAAGAAATTCTTGATGAAGAGTTCGCTGGACGAGATTGACACGGTCGAGCCACTGAGGCGGGCCCTTCGGCAGCCCATGCATTGCTCTATTCTAGAATATCTAGCGGCATCCAAGCCGGCTCGCGATGAGTTACAGATGATCACGCGGAAGACTCGCATACCTCTATCGGAGGAGGCTCAGGGGACCCCTAAGGCGGATGCTCCTACTGTAGCAGTAACGGGGGTGACTGCCAGAGCGGATCGCATGGCGACAGTCCTTCTTGATGGGATGAAAGGTGTGCCTCCAGACAAGTTTTACATACTTGGTACTGGGGCCGTGGAGACGATCATAAACGATGGAGCGGTACTAGATGTTGTGATCGATAACGGCAGTGAGGCTGTCATTATAGACGAGGATCTGGCAGTACAGGTTGGACTGGGCCTCGATAGGTCATACCTATTCGAGATAGGGACGACTGATGGGAGAAAGCAACAGATCACCGGAGTTTGCCACAAGGCAGCCATAGAGGTCCAAGGCGTACGAGTGACCCTGTCGGTCTTTGCAGTCAAGAATTGCAGCTCTAATCTGCTCTTGGGACGAACGTGGTTGAGCCACGTGCATGCGGTGACGATAGAGCGACCGGATGGGAGCCAGACATTGTTCATTAAGAAGCTAGATGGACGCGGGTTATGATTGAGACAGTGGAGCCTCGGGACCCGAGGAACAGAGGAAGAAGGTCGGATCATGGAGGTGGAAGATTTAGGGAGTCGGCTGATAGTGGACGGCAACTCGTACCCAAAGGAGACAGATGAGGAATTTGGCGGGGTGGTATCTGTGTCTTTTTTAAAGGCACCGCCCCCTATGGGGGGCTACCCAAGCGAGACAAGCGAGTAGCACAAAAAGTTAAGCCACCGGCGGTGAGCCGCGAGCGATCTGCACTGGAAGGGATATCGGAAGAAGAGATCGCAAAAGAAATCAAAGAAAGGAAGAAAAAGGAGCCGCAACGCCTAACGGAAGAGAGGATAGCAGGGATGGACATCGGAGATGGGAATTTGACCCCACAGGAGCGAGAACGTGTGATAGAAATCCTGAAGACATGTGGTAAGGCAATAGCTTTCAGCGACGCAGAGCGCGGTAGGATTGATCCTCGATACGCTAAGCCAGCAAGGATTTACACGATTCCACATGTTCCTTGGAATGACGCAGGATGGAAATACGCCCAGAAGGAGAAGGAAGAAGTTATCGCTTTCCTGAAAGAAAAGATGGTTTCCCATGTTACGGAGCCGTCAGATAGCGCCTATGCTAATCGATGGTTCTTCCTACGGAAGCCGAATGGCAAGATCCGATGGATCCAAGATCTTCAGAAGGTCAACACGATGACCATACGAGACGTGGGCTCCGTGCCACACGCCGACTTACTGGCCGAAGGCGCCGCAGGCAGGTTGATTTATTTGGTCTGCGATCTGCTCTCAGGCTATGATGAGGTACCGTTTGATCCTAGGGACAGGCACCTCACGGCTATGCACACGCCATTGGGACTGATACAGATGATGGTTGTCCCTATGGGTTTGACTAATGGGGTAGCCGTTTTTCGGAGAGCCATGATAGACGTCCTCAAGAACTTCATCCCTGATAAGGTTGAAGTTTTTCTGGATGACTTTCCTATAAAAGAGCCAGTAAACAAGGATGAGACAGAGGTTGCACCAGGAGTTAGAAGATTCATCGAGCAGCACCTAACAGATATTTGCGCGGCACTAGAGCAGCTGGACGATGCGAATTTAACGGTCAGCGCAACAAAGAGCCGATGGGCCGTCTCGACTATTAAGATCTTGGGCTTTATCTGTGACTCGAGAGGACGCCGAGCAGATCTGGCGAAGTTAGACAAACTCCTGAACTGGCCGTCACCGTTACATAGTCCAACCGAGGTCCGACAGTTTCTGGGAGTGGTCGGTTACTGACGCATATTCATACGGGGGTATGTGGAGAAGGCTGAGCCATTGAGGTTACTCCTTCGAGAGACTGAAAAATTATACTGGGATTCCTCGCAGGAACTCGCTATGCAAGAGCTTAAAGACGAATTTAAGGAGGGAGAACGCGTACTGGGCATGCCATTCTTTGACGATGAAACCGAGAGACCCTTCATAGTATTCACGGATGCTGGACCTCGTTCAGTTGGAGGGCTGCTGTCTCAGAAAGACGCAGAAGGGAAGGGAAGGCCGTTAAGATTTGAGAGTATGACACTTAATACGGCAAAACGAAACTACAGTCAATTCAAGAAGGAAGTGTTAGCCGTTCAGCGGTGTCTGGACACGTTTAGACACTATATCTATGGGCGTCGGTTCATCTTGAGAATAGATCCCACAACGGTTAACTCTGTCCTCCAGAAGGACTTCAGTCTGACGGACCCGACCATTGCTCGATGGCTGATACGGATTTGGCTATATGATTACGCAGTTGAGAGGATATGTGGCACTAAAAATGCCGTGGCATATGGGCTTTCGCGCATCCCTCTTGAGGCCGAGCGCCCGATAGTAGCTGGGGCCCTGATATTGGCAGAGCCGAGACGCGCCGAACGATTTCTGGTTAACCTTTACGAGGGCAAGTACCGAACGATCGGGTTACACCTATCAGGAGAGGAGAGTCAAGAATCAGATATCCGCAGACAAGCGGCGCAGTACTGCCTCAGAGTCGGCCATCTATTTCGAAGGCCGGTCGGCTCGGGGATGCCCTTAAGAGTAGTCTGTGACCCTGAGGAGAGACAAACGATAGTTGCGGAGCTTCATGACGGGGTAGTCGAAGGACACAGGGGAGTCAAAAGAACCTACGAAAAGGTACGCAGGTTGTACTGGTGGGAAGGACAATATAATGACGTCGAGAGGTACTGTATGACCTGCGAGGAATGCTAAAAGAGAGCTCTTGTGAAATACAAAGAGCCTCTTCATCCATCCTATCCCACCAGACCAGAAGAGAAGGTACACATCGATATGGTGAAGATGCCAAAAGGAGTAGGCAATATGAACTACGTTGTGTACATACGTGACGATTTCACTGGGTTCGTGGACGGTAGACCTATCAGGAGTAAGACGGCAAAGGAAGTGAAGAACTTCGTCCTTGAGTACTTATCCAGGTATGGTTGTGTCAGCAAGATAGTGATGGACAGAGGGGCGGAGTTTCTAGCTGACGAGGTTCAGAGTGTGTTCAAGAGAGCNTAGCTGACGAGGTTCAGAGTGTGTTCAAGAGAGCCGGGGCGAGAGTTTCGATARCCACCGCCTATYASCCACARTCGAACKCCCSAGTAGAGAGGGGCCACCAGACTCTGATAGCGTCACTRTCCAAGTGGTGCAAGGGTAAKGACAGTGATTGRCCAYGATATTCTCGATACGCAATATGGGCGGACAACGTCACGGTCCGGGCCAGTACCGGATACCCACCGTAYACCTTATGGTTTGGGCGGCATTGTCCGCTCCCCATAGAGTTTCACGTYGACAGYTGGACAACCGTCGACTGGGCGGAGGAGATGTCCARAGACGAACTCATAGCTGCYCGAACAAGACAGATAGCCTACGGTTTGGAAGATAACCTTATGACAGCGGCARATCGTCTGGYAGTAGAAAGRGACAAAGGTAAAGAGAGAYGGGATAAGAACKTGAGAATCAGGAAAGAGAGGGTGAGCGTAGGAGATATGGTCCTTCTCTACGACGCARCACTGGAAAGGACCTGGACCGGAAAACTCGCCAACAGATGGATGRGACCTTACAGAGTGGTTGAGGCACTCGACTKGGGTGCATATATGATAGCMRAATTGGACGGATCCAAGTGGAAGGACCCAGTGGCRGGTGCTAGGTTAAAACTGTTTAGACCCAGRCCTGCACCCACCTTATCGYTGACGGGCCCCAAAGGAAAGGGGAAGGCTGAAATAGAGGATGGAGCTCCCTTGAGACGATTCGAGGCAKGCGAAAGTTCCAAGAAGAGAARAAGAATAGARAAAAGGAAGATCAAAGGGTTAGCTCWAGGAAGAGAGAAGAAATRGTTATTCRTGCTCAAGAGGGCCAGACRGAGAGTCCRCAKTAGACAAACTGGCGGGACGGCACCCTTCTCGGGCCAACGACARAAGAAAAAGAKGATYCTACCAAGGCCGAGAACCCGACRGAGAAGGAAAGTAAAAAAACATCTACTTAGCCCTAGAACTCAAAACASACTGAAACATAAGACAATTGAACGCCSACGTGGGCGTCCWSTACGGGCAATCACCCTGAAGYTYGTYCGCTTYGTCTGACGAAAGTGGTTAGGGCTCGACGGGGGCGTCGAGAAGTGGTCCGGGCTAACTGTCARGYGGCCACAAGCAGTGCGCCGCCTGAAATCTACGGTTTTGGGACTTAGGMTCAAGGGCAAGTCCGTCTTTTGACGGTACTCTGGTTTGACYGGGCAGCAGAAATTAGGGKAACTCASGGTAYCCCTSATTCTGGGCGCACTGAACCTTACGAGTAACCCTCAKAGATAGCGAGATRGGWGGGCGCGCTCGGCGTATCTAGAGACTRTCATTTYCGGYCGTTCAGAGGGYTGGAGCCGGATTGGCCTGCTGCGAGGAGGCATCGCGGGAACAGACCTCGCCKYGACGCTTTTGCAGCATACGATCGGGGCCGAAATGAGGCCTCGRATTTTTGTCTATCTTAGTGYSATAATTAAAGATGGGGAAAAGRGATTAAGACCAGTAGGGGAGAAGRRAAAAACMTAATATCCCTTAATTTYTTTATTTTTCACGGCATTTAATTCAAGGGGGAATACCSTTGTTATTTTATGTTCCCGGCAATGAAATTAAAAACATAGAAAAATATTCAAAATGGTAAAAGAGAAAAGAAASAAAAGGAATTYGGCCATCTATTTAAACTTTCTCGGAATTTAMTTTTGGGGAACTTACAGTTAATTTWCTATTTYYGACAATAGAATTAAGGGAAGGGAAGAATGATGAAAAACGATGAAAGGGACGGGAACCCATGATTATTGGGAGATTGGYMTAATTTCACCTCGATCCGCCGCCATCATCTCGGACCCCAAATTGATCATTTTCTCTGGATTCAGACAATTTTCACTTCTGCCGATGGTCGAGATTCCCTGYGCCGCTTTCCCTGGTTTGCATGRTTGCTAACATTACCGCAGTTGGKATGTTCTGAGAGCGAGAGTCGCATGGACARCATGGGGTGGTGCTACCTTGGGCTGACAATTTGGTATTTGGCTTGGTACGGGTGCGTGGCTCGGAGAGAATCGGTATTATTACGGACTGGGTACATTCTACGGTATCCGGCATGTGACAGGTTCGGTATGGGCTCGGCGGCAGGGTGATCAGGCTTGGGGKCACTGCGATGACTTCCTTTCAGGTTTACGACTACAGCGGTGGATAATTTTCTGGTTCGGATACATCGGCACGGCTCAATCTCAGGTTCGGAGCAACCTCAGTGGGATATTACAGGTTTGGCGGCATCGGGGCACTTTATTTCAGGTTTGGGCCTTCGTCGTGGTATGTTTTCGGATCTGGAACTGCTACGGCAGTTTATTTCGGCTGCGGAGACATCAGTGCGATTTMTTGACAAGTTTGGGACCATTTTAGTCGCCTATTTCAAACTCGGGACCGGTATGGCCGTTTATTTCGGGTTCGGGACGACTATGGAGGTTTATCTCTACGTCTGGGGCCGCTACGACCATTTATTTCAGCTTCGGTGTCACTCACGTGACCTAATGTCAATTCCGGGACCACCGCCGAGGCTTACTTCAGGCTCGGTATCATCGCATCGCGTTATTTCAGGTACCGCACCAACGCTGCGGATTATTCCAGATCCGGGGACACAATGTTGGTTTATTTTTAAGACCGAGACTGCCGTGACGACGACAAGGTTCAGGGTTCGATGATGAATTGGTATGGGCGCGGCACTCGAGCTCAGGTTTGGGATTTCACCGGTGAGGCTACATTCCATGCGACTCAGGTTCATTGCGGTGTTCCGCGGTACTCTATGTGCTCCAGATTCGAAGATGGTTTCGAGGTGGCAACGTTTTTTTTTGGTTCGTCGTCGGTGCGCGATCAGTGGGGTGTGGGTCATTCTACTATTTTCAGCTTTTAGCATTGCCCTCTCTGTGGACTCATACGCTTATGATCAGTGCGGGTCAGTCCGCGGGTCTGGAAAGGGAAAATACGGTTCCAGAGTACTGATACAGGAATGGGCATCGAGTGGGCGTAGTCGGGGGTGTCGGGCCCTGTGATTGATCGAGGGCCAGCCGCGAGCGGTTTGGGGACAACGAAGGACTGAGGCCTTTTCAGGATGCCCAGCATGAAACCAAGGCCAGAGAACTGGAGAAGGTGGGACTCRCTAGGCGGATATATGCTACTCAGGGAGGTTGTTTTAAAAAAGGGAGGAGAGCGAGCAAGGTGTACCTGGCCCGCGACATTGGAGATGAGCGAGTCAGCGGATGCTAGGGGCGGAGGCGGTTACAGTCGGAACGGGCGGAGAAGTAGTGGCGCCGAGACACACGCAGGGGTGAGCAGGGTGTGCCCAGTCCGCGTCGTGGTGAGACGCACGGAGGATCGCAAAGAGCAGAGCAGGGAGCTTGCGCGCGCGACAGGAACCGCTCGGTTCGGTGTGGGGAGAAGGAGAGGAGTGTGCATTGTGTTCCCAACCTACATCGCGATCTRAAGTAGACCGAGTCCACACGCARGGGCCAAATCGACTTTGAAGGTGCGATAACTCAGGGAGTGTACGCCTCAATCCGCATCCCTCATGCAGGGGACTGTTTGAGACTCACGCATGGTCAGGCTGAACAGGGAGGATCAAAGTGGAGTGGCAGGCGAGTGAGAACGAGGGGAGCAGTGGGAAAACTCAGGCATCGGGCGCGCAAGGCGTTCCCGATGAAGTGTGCGTATGGCGGGAGAGGCAAGGAGGAGAGAGAGAGAGAAGGAGCATCCGGGAGATGCGAGGGGGGAAGCGCGCTAGGTGTGCATCCCCTTTCTTGAAGATCGTCAGGACAATCCGACGTGTGTATTTAGGACTGGCCTCGTCGGGGAAGCAGGCAAGGCGTGTAACG